AAAAAAAAAAAAAAAAAAAAAAAAAAAAAAAAAAAAAAAAAAGAATCACTTGAATCCTGGAGGCAGAGGTTGCAGTGAACTGAGATAGCGCAGTGCACTCCAGCCTGAGTGGTGAGTGACAGAGTGAGACTCTGTCTCAAAAAAGAAAAGAAAAGAATATAAATGTCAAAAAAACAATGATGTTTATTTTCTTTCCTAGATCTCTGCCATCCCGAGATTGTCACTCCTAGCCTCCTCTGGAAACTCTCTGAGTGCTGGGGAATCGCTTCTCTTAAAAGAGGCCCATACAGGCATGAGGTCATACTTGGGCAGTTTTTGGCTGTGTGAAAATTGCACCACACAGTATACAAATGATGAACCAAACAATTACATTCGTTCTTTGGCTGGATTGCATTTTCTCCTGGGATCTAGATGCATTTCACCAGGGCCACAGAAAGAAAAATGAAGACCATGATACCGTGACAAATGCCAACTGCCTCGTAAGTGCAGATATTTTCAATTATCTAGTTAGCTAGAGTTTTGCATAGGTAATACCCTTTTCTACTAACATTAACCAAAACGTACACATTCCAGGGCTCCAGAGTGATTTTATATACATATATGTATATTTAAATATACATACATACATGTATGTATATTTAATTTGTACAGTATACATTTATATATGTATATAGATAAACATATGTATGTTAAATATATATGTATATAATACTTGTGTGTGTGTGTGTGTATGTGTGTGTGTGTGTGTGTGTATATATATTATATATATATATATATATATATATATATATTTTTTTTTTTTTTTTTTTAAGACAAGGTTTCACCATGTTGGTCAGGATGGTCTTGAACTCCCAACCTCAGGTGATCCGCCCGCCTTGGCCTCCAAAGTGCTTGGATTGCAGGCGTGAGCCACCACGCCCGGCCATATTTATATATATTTTAAATAGAGACAGTGCCTTGCTATGTTGCCCAGGTTGGTCTCAAACTCCTGGGCTCAAGCCTGGCCAATTTTATATATTTTTATTATTTTATTGTTTGCGTAGTCCCAGCCTTCTTTCTGGCAATAGCATTTGTTAAAGTAACATTAACTTTTGTCTGGGTGCTGTGGCTCACCCCTGTAATCTCAGCACTTTGGGAGGCCGAGGCAGGAGGATCACTGGAGGTCAGGTGTTTGAGACCAGCCTGGCCAACATGGTGAAACCCCATCTCTACTAAACATACAAAAATTAGCCAGGTGTGGTGGTGTGTGCCTGTAGTCCCAGCTACTTGGGAGGCTGAGGCAGGAGAATCGATTGAGCCTGGGAGGCAAGGTTGCAGTGAATAGAGCAGAGATCATGCCACTGCACTCCAGCCCGGGTGACAGAGCAAGACTCTATCTCAAAAAAAAAAAAAAGTAACATTAACTTTTGGTTAAAATGCACTCTTAGTTGGTCCCATTAATTCATTCAGCAAACAGTGTGCACTTACTATGTACCCTCTGGGAATGCAAAAAGTGTGTAAAACCAGGTTGTTGGCCTTGCTTTTTTTTTTCTTTCTTTCTTTTTTTTTTTTTTTTTGAGGCAAAGTCTTGCTCTGTCACCCAAGCTGGAATGCAGTGGCACAATCTCAGCTTATTGCGACCTCTGCCTCCCGGGTTCAAGCAGTTCACTCGCCTCAGCCTCCCAAGTGGCTGGGATTACAGGCATGTGCCACTACACCTGGCTAATTTTTGTATTTTTAGTAGAGATGGGGTTTCACCATGTTGGCCAGGCTCGTCTCGATCTCCTGACGTCAGGTGATCCACCTGCCTTGGCTTTCCAAAGTGCTGAGATTACAGGCGTGAGCTACCACACCCAGCCCAGAGCAGAGAGAATGTTAATGAAACTGGTAGGCTATGAGCCTAGGGCCAGACTGGGGAGGGAACCTCAAAGGAAGGATTAAGGAATTGCGATTCTTGTTCTATAGGTGACAGGGAAGATGATGCCATCAGATCCGTGCTTCACATAGAGAAGTCCAAAGCATAGATGGAGTCACCCAGGCATGGTGTGCGGGCACGCAGTAAAGCAGAGATATGATCACTAGATTGTTATGATAAGTAGTTCAGGCCTGGAGTGGTAGTTCAAGCCTGAAATCCCAACACTTTGAGAGGCCGGGACAAGAGGATTGCTTGAGTCCAGGAGTTCCAGACCAACCTGAGCAACAGAGCGAGACCCCATCTCTACAAAAAATAAACAAAATTAGCTGGGCATGGTGGCATGTGCCAGTAGTTCTGGCTACCCAGGAGTCTGAGGTGGGAGGATCACTTGAGCCTGGGAGGTTGAGGCTGTAGTGAGCCTTGATCACACCACTGCACTCCAGCCTGGGTGACAGAGCAAGATCCTTTCTCAAACACACACACACACACACACACACACACACACACACACACACACACACACCATTCAGTGTAGATAGGATGAAGTTATGAATTACAGCAGAGAGAAGAAATAAAAACAAGACTTGAGAGAGTATGAGAAGTCCTGTTCAACAGAATTGGCTGATGAATGTGAATGGCTGGTAAGGAAAGAGGCACCAGGCGCACGGATAGCAGCAGCTAACATGAAATGCTTACTCTGCGTTATCTCACTTAACCCCACAGCCGTGCTATGAGCAGGATTGTATTACTATCCACATTTTATGGGTGGCATGGAAGCCCATCAGAGTGGGCAATCAAAGCGACATAGCTAGTATGTGTTGGTGGTAAGTGGTGGAGTGAGGAGGATTTGGACCTATGTGGTAGCTCCACCAGCTGGCTGGGTCTTCAGTGCCATGTGATTGGGAGGTGAAGCCACTGCCCTAGGCAGCGGTTAAGGAATGGCCGATTTGGGCCAGGAGCCTGCTGCAGCCATCTTCTGCTCCGGAGTGCTCCCAGGTGGCTCCAATGCCATGTCCCCCATAGACGTGTTGTGTTTGCCCCATAGACTATTTTAAGATCATATTTAGAATTAATTGGTACCTTTTTAAAAGCTGAGATTCACATTAAAAAGTGCATTTCTGGCTTTTCTTGGAAAATGAGAAGATCTGGCCCAATGTGGCCCATTTGGGACCTGGAGTTGCCTCTCTGTGTTTCCTTCAGCTGGGGCTTGTACCCCCAGTTGGCCAGGCCCCACTGGTCTGTGTGAGGTCTCCGGCCACCTCTGCAGGCACCTGGGTCTGCCTCTCTGCTGTTCTTTTTTTTTACAGAGTCTTGCTGTTGCCCAGGCTAGATCACAGTGTCGTGATCTTGGCTCACTGCAACCTCCGCCTCCTGGGTCAAGCAATTGTCTTGCCTCAGCCTCCCAAGTAGCTGGGATTACAGGTGCCCATCACCACGCCCAGCTAATTTTTGCATTTTTAGTAGAGACGGGGTTTTACCATCTTGGCCAGGCTGGTCTTGAACTCCTGACCTCATGATCTGCCTGCCTCAGTCTCCAAAAGTGCTGGAATTATAAGGCATGAGCCACTGCGCCCAGCCCACCTTTCTGCTATTCTGGCACGAGGTGTGCTGCTCAGCTTGGCTTTGACGCCAGGCTGTATTTGTTCATTTAATGCATGCCAAGCCCAGGCCTCCACTGATGGCTAAATACCTTTTCTGAATTTTAGGCAATGTAAGATAAAAATATGCTGTGGGAATTGAGAAAGACTAAATGCTCACCCATGCTTGAGTGCCCACAGGGAGGAGGGTTCTGCACAGGTAGTGCAGGAAAAAGGCAGATGGCTATAGTTCCTGAATCCAGCATAAATTAAAGCAAAATACAAATCGTACCATGGAAAATGGCAAGTAATGGCCTATTGCCAATATGCAAATTATGTTGTGATTTTTTAAAAATTTGTTTTGTAATGAATAATTTGCTTGAATTTTGAGCTGTGTACTTTGGACATATGATAAGGAAGCTTTGGGGGGAGATTGTGTGTGTGTGTGTGTGTGTGTGTGCACGCGCACACGTGTACCTGTGCATGTTTGTTTATGGGGGCGTGGACCACACTTTACAAAGCTTGGAATTTTCTACTGAAATTCAGTTTCAGAGTCTGGGTGCAGTGGCTCACAGCTGTAATCCCAGCACTTTAGGACACTGAGGTGGGCAGATTGCTCGAGTTCAGGAGTTTGAGACCAGCCTGGTCAATATGGCGAAACCGTGGCTCTACAAAATATACAAAAATTAAGCGTGTCGTGGTGGCACATGCCTATAGGCCTAGCTATTTGGGAAGCTGATGTGGGAGGATCACTTAAGCCAGGGAGGCGGAGGTTGCAGTGAGCCAAGATTGTGCCACTACACTCCAGCCTGAGTGACAGAGCAAGACTATGTCTAAAAAAGAAAAGAAAGAAAGAAAATTTCAGTTTCAGAACATTTTTTCAAGACCAGCCTAGCCAACATGGTGAAACCCCGTCTCTACTAAAAATACAAAAATTAGCCAGGCTTGGTGGCAGGCACCTGTAATTCCAGCTACTCGGGAGGCTGAGGCAGGAAAATCACTTGAACCCGGGAGGCAGAGGTTGCAGTGAACCGAGATTGTGCCACTGCACTCCAGCCTGGGCAACAAGAGTGAAACTCAGTCCACCCCAAAAAAGAATATTTTAATAAACTTTTATGATTTATTAAAGGGTGAAAACATGTTTCTGTACCATTATGTTCAAGTGTGAGTCCACACTGGCAAACAGGCATTTGTCTGTATTAAATATTTTGTTCCATTTAAAGTATAACAGTAGTTCCCTGTGCCCATGCTCAGGTTGGACAAATGACCACATTTCATGCCTGTGTGAGTTTTTTGTTGCAATTTGTATACTGCCCATAGAGATACACGTTCAAACAGGTGCAGGAAGCAGAGCTGCCAGCAAAGCTGCAGGAGTTGACTCTTAATCTATGTTCTTTGAGTTATACCTGACAACTTTCCATCACACCTGGCTGCCTGGCTGAGGAACTGGAGGAAGGTGGCCACTGCTGGCAGGAATTTATCAGCGGCCACCGGACAGTATTATGGAGTGGCCACCGCCTCTCAGAGGCTCACTGTCCATAGCACAGGGGTCATCCATCCTGTCAGGCCACGTTGATCCCACTCGTGGGGTTCTCTCGTGGGAGCCCTGCAGGTTCTCCCCTGGGAACAAGAAGTGATCGTGTAAGGTTCACACTGCAGATCAGCTTGGTCTCCGGAGCCATTTCTGCACAGATCACGTGGGGCTCACAAGGCCATGCTCTGCTGCTCCCTGGACTCTGACCCCTGTCCTCCTTCCTCCTTCCTCTGGTCCTCAGAGACTCCTCCTTCCCCGCCATGTCCGCAACTAGGGTGGGACCAGGCTGTACATTGTGGCCAGTTCTGTTCTCATTTGTGTGTTGCTCAGAATCCATTGTTTCTACTGATGCAGACCAGTGCCTAATCCTAGGTGTCTAGCACCATGTTGGGAGCCAGGGATGTGGCAGACAGGTGCCTGCCCTGGGGGATACGGGGAGCACATGAAGGACATAACCGGTGAACTGGGTAGCACTTCGTCACAGGCCTCTCACAACTGCTATTTTGTCTCCATCACATTACTTTTGTGGTGTGACCTAAAAGGCCTTGGCTCCCCTAAAGATCTGGCCAAGTTCATGGTAAAGTTATTCATTCATTTAACAAATTCATTCATGTAACAATATTTATTAAGCACCTATTATTTGTCAGATATCATTCCAGATGTCAGGATTGTAACAGAGAACAAACTGACAAATGCCTTGTTCTCTTGGTGCTTACATTATCGTGGAAGGGGACACAAAGAAATCATGTCAATGTGTACTATGTCCTAAGAATTTTAAAGAAAAACTCAAGCAGGGTAAGGGAGAGAGAATGACAGTGGGGAGGAGGGTTGCTCTTTGAGGAAGGCCCTTCTGGTGACTCTTGAAGCAGAGCCCAGCAGGAGGGGAGGGGGAAGCGGTGGTTTGGAGGAAGTCCTTTCACAGTGGGGAGCCGCAAGAGCAGAGCCCCCTAGTGAAAGTGTGCCACTGAACTACAATCCTGTTTTCCTCATTTGCAAGTTAATGGGCTTGTTGGGAGGGACAAATGAAATCCTTTATATGAAAACGTTTATGTCAACTGTAGAACATTGGACAAAAGTTACTCTCTTTATGTTGACTTCATCAAATATTTGTAGTGTCTAAATCAGGAAGGATCATAATGATTATATTACAATTCTGCCCTTTCATTTCTTTTTATTGAGGTGAAATGCATATAACATATAATGAATCATTTTAAAACGTACAATTCAGTGGCATTTGGTGCATTCACAGTGTTGTGCAACCACCACCTCTTTCTATTTAAAAACCTTTTTCATCATCCCTGCCTTTTATTTATTTGTTTTTTACTTTTTTGAAACGGAGTCTCACTCTGTCGCCCAGGCTGGAGTGCAGTGGCACGATCTCGGCTCACTGCAACCTCTGCCTCCCAGGCTCAAGCAATTCTTCTGCCTCAGCCTCCCGAGTAGCTGGGATTACAGGTGCCCACCACCACACCCGGCTAATTTTTGTATTTTTCGTAGAGACAAGCTTTCACCGTGTTTGGCCAGGATAGTCTCAACCTCTTGACCTCATGATCTGCCTGCCTTGGCCTCCCAAAGTGCTGGGAATTACAGGCATAATCCACCGTGCCTGGCCTCCTTTTTCTTTTTAAAATAGAGATGGTGTCTCCCTATATTGCCCAAGCTGGATTTGAAACTTGGGCTCAAGTGATACCCCAACCTCAGTCTCTTGAGTAGCTGGGATTATAGGCACTCACCACTGAGCCTGCCCTTTCATTTTTATTTTATTTTATTTATTATTTTTATTATTTAGAAGCAGCTGGAGTGCAGTGGTGTGATCATGGTTCACTGTAGCTTCCACCTCCCAGGCTCTAGCAATCTTTCCACCTCAGCCTCCCAAGTAGCTGAGACTACAGACATGTGCCACCGTGCCTGGCTAATTTTTGTATTTTTTTACAGAGATGCAGTTTCACCTTGTTGCCCAGGCTGGTCTTGAACTTCTTGGCTCAAGTGATCCTCCTACCTTGGCCTCCCCCAGTGCT